GTGTATGTGAAATTGTATGTTTATTAACGCACTCATGACACAGGACTAAATACTAATCAAAGGAACAGTTAAAAAATAAAAAATATAAACCTAAATAAGTGTGGGAGAGCCATGCTTCGGCACGAATGGGCCGGCTCGACCGGAGTGATACCACGGCCCCACAGAAAACAAACGTGAAACAACGCTTGCGTTGTGTTTCGTCGTGTGAGTGAGGTTACCGGAGGCTCAATTACCCCCTTCTCCTCAAACTCCTAATTCCCAAACGGCCGGTAACGCACTTGTAACGCCTCTGGTGTTCCAGGTGTCCATGGGCGACGCCGATTGCTTACCATCAGGTGATCCGTCTACCGGTTTAACGGCTTATCTCATAAAAAAATATATATCAACTTGAGACGTAGGTTTATATAGGTATTAACATTGGAAACGCCCAATTAGCCTGAACAAGCTATTGTATGATCGTATGAATTTATGATATTATTACACAGTTGTAACTATAACAAAACCAGTATAAACTGACCGTTCGAATGTGCTTCAATATTATATAAAGCGAGACCTTGATAAACTGGTTTTGTATAGCTTGATATGTAGTCGTACATGCAACTGCAAATTGTCAGAAGACCACTAAGCCGATTAATTGACCGCAATAGTCCTTTACGGTCTACTGTACACCAATTAATAATTCTGTTAATAGCTCTTAGGTATATAACACAAGACTATCTATTGTACGGACACTAAGATAACCTCTCTCATAACATCATTAGAAAGAAAGAAACAAAAAGAAGTACAAGTAGCCACAATAATACAAAAATTATATAAAATATAGGGGTAGGCAGAGGTGCACATTATGCTAATGTAAGTACAATGTAACACCCACTTTTCACTATTTATGTTATGAGTCCCATATAATAGGGGGTGAGCCTATTGCCATATACCGGGCACATTTCCAGACTCCGTGCTACTACTGAGATTTTTAAAAACCCAGTAATACTTTGCTCGACCCTGAATTGAACCCGAGACCCCTTGCCCGGCAGTCGCACTTGCGACCACTCGGCCAACGAGGCAGGCAAAAAATACAGACACTCCACACTGTATAATTGAGCATATCATTAGTAATTAGCATTAAGTACGAAATCGTGTGACCAGTCAACTCAAGATTGATAACATTATACTCTAATTTTTCGAAAAACTATCTGCAATCTCCAACTCTTCTGGTGGGCATAATGACAAGACAACATCTCATTTCACATAACTGAATCAGCAAAAAAGTGTAACCAAGTATTGTATTGTGAACCTGATAGAAAAAGACTAAAGAATAAACCTATGGAGTTTCTTGCTCGTTCTTCTCCATAGGAATCTACACGAGCAAATAGCTTCTCTCAGCTAAATAACCGCGATTCTATTATGAATAGTCTTTATACTATAAAGTTTAATATAAGAAGTATACGGGTACAAAAAGCTCATGTGTGGTAACCCTACAGTGCACAGTGCCGTCAATGAGGGCCTGTTGTACCGGGGTTACGCTTTTATTGACCCATACCAGTTATTTACGGGTTAGGTATTCATGTTGGTTTTGTGTGGATAAGACAAAGTAGATATGAGTAGTTGTTGCGGCTTTTTTACATAAAGGAAAATGGTTATTGTGTTTATTTTTTAATTAAGTTTTTGATTATCAACTTAAACATTAAAACGTGTCCTTTCGAATTCCCTGCTCGGTATACTTAATATTTTTATGTTTTTAATTTAAGAAAACGTAATCCCACACTAGGAATTTCTCTTGTGTCGTGGGTGCGTTTACAAACATACAAGTTCACATACAAATGACACCCAGACCCGAAATAACAATTTGTGGATCGCACAAAGAATTGTTCCGTGCGGGTATCGAACCCGCTACACGTTGCACGGCAGCCAATTGCCCAGACACCGCGCCAACCTTGCAGTAAAATTATTAACACCTACTGTACTATGGGCCTTCTCTATATGAGAAGGGTTTGCCATAATCTCTAGTAAGGTTTGAGATCGCAGTTTCAGGACTAATCATTACAGAAAATCTTATACTATTATATAAAGCGGAAGAATTATTTTTTTTGTTTATTTGTTTGAACGCGCTAATCTCCGTAACTACAAGTCTGATTTATTCAATTCTTTTTGTGTTGGATAGCGCATTTATCGAGGATGGCTATAGGCTATAAAACATCACGCTACGACCAATAGGAGCTGAGCAGAGCGTGTGAAACAGCGCGAAAGTAAAAGTTCTTTATAAAATGTGTTGTCCCCTTATTTAGTTTCAACGACACCCATAAGAAAAAAAAGTAGTATTAAATGGTTTCTGTTCTGTCTCCACCAAGATAGACAAGTTATTCTTACGACCAGTATTTCCCTATGACTCACATTATGGTAATGTCTATAAGTCTTATCCACACCATTCTCCTGTCTGCTGGCCCCCCTATTAAACAAGTGCATGTTAAATGAATCAATTTTAACTCGTTAGTGTTCAGCGCATGGCATGGTATCATGGCGACCATTGAACATATTAAAATTGCTCAATTGTATATATGTGTATTTTGTAAGTATTTGTGTCTAGAAGTTCGTCTTCGTCGTCGTAATTATTAGGTTTTGTATCTTTAGCCATTATTTTAAGATAGGCGATTCCGTTGTACTAAGGATTCTAAGATATTGTCTTACAAATCACTACATAGTATAAAACAAAGTCGCTATCCGCCGTCTGTCTGTCCCTATGTATGCTTAGATCTTTAAAACTACGCAACGGCTTTTGATGCGGTTTTTTTAAATAGATAGAGTGATTCTTAAGGAAGGTTTTTATGTATAAAAATACATGCATATTGCACCCGTGTGAAGCTGGGGCGGGTCGCTAGTATTACATAATAATATGCGAACGTTACTACTTTACGTCAAAACGACTGAAAAGATTGGTAATTAGTTCAACAAATATACGACAAGAAACTAGTTTAGAACATGAAGTAAGTTACGTAAATTTGACTTTTATTTAATTTAAGTAATTCTTTGAATTTGAAGTCACATAATACCTATATATTCGAAATAAAAACCTTACTCTTGGTTGAAAGCAATTCTTACATTAGTTAAGCCTTTCCTTTGAAAATAACGAAAATAGAACCTAAAAACAGCTATCATTTAACAATTAGACACTCTTCACTCAACTCTGAAAGGCTTTTTCTTTAGAAATTCATTAGCGTTGCCTTACGCATCTTCACGCATATAAATTGCAAGTGATCGTCGCAGAGCAGAGGGGGAATAAGAAAGAGATGTCAGTTCACGGTACTAAGAACATTCAGGAGCATTACGCCATGTTGTTTTATTTGGGCTAAGTTGTAAGAGAATAGCGATTTTGATTAAGTGTGTTTGTCTAATAGCAAAATGTAGTTGCAATTGTTAGAAAACAGTGGTAAAGTGGTAAAATGCAAACCAATTTCTCATTTTAGTGCTATTACTATATATTTATCAATTGGAACTACACGATTATTTATCTTTGTGGAATTGTTTACATTACTCAGTTTATTTGTGCCACGCGTAATAATGATTGAAGGATGACATTATAATATCCAGGATAAACAACGGGTTTGTTCCAAGTTCCAGACAAGCTTGTAGATCCCCAGTAACATGATTAGCACTGGATATTTGTGTACACTCAAGGCCATTATTATAACAGAAAACATGTCTTAAATACTATAATTACTTCTTAGGAGGTGTTACTCTTTTACGCTTATAATTTGCACCAAACACCATAAAGAAACATAAGGTACAGATCACACTGCGGAACGCACTTACGTCCAAATTGCTCGCACTTTATACGCACCCTTACTCTCGCTGGGAGTAATTACCGCGACTTGAAATTGTCACACTAACGAGAAATGCCAGATATAAATCTCACAAAGACTCATTTAGCCATAAATCTTTACATTTGGACCAAATATTACGTTTTATTTTATAAAATTTTCGAGTCCATTTTGTTCCAGTGAATGGTGTCCTTTTCTGTCGTATTTCAAATTATTTGTCATTTATAAAGTACTGTGTAGCTTTTAGAAAAATTGTATGGTCTATGTTTCTGCTGTTACAATGAATGACTGGGTTCTTGCTCTATTTGTCTTGTGCTTATGGATCTTAAGTTCGAAAACCAGGATAGGAAAAATAATTGCCGATCTATTATAAAACGATCAACACAATCATACAGCTTTTTAATCTTATTATTATTATGACACAAGAAAAATATCTTTTTTAATTAGAGTAAATGGAAAACAGAATGAAAGTACGCGTAAATTACCAAGATTTTGCTAATTTGCTAACCTGCCCTTAGGAATATTGCCTCAATATAAATTCTGATGTTTTGTTATGACATGAAATTATACAAATTATCACCATATCGTTAACGTTGGAAGTTCATATTTTTTGTTTCACTGAAAACCGCAGCTTCTCTGGAGACTAATTCTATTTTTGACTTTAACACGAGCCCCTGATAGAATGATACGAGAAAAATAATAAAAACGGCAATTAAAAATAATTTTCACACGTCCATAGTAATAATAACACCTTCATTTTGTACGCAAAATGGTCAGATTGCGTCATTTTAGCTTAAATAACCTTACTTACAACACAGTAAACTAAAAGTTCAAAAATACAAAACAAACATTTACAATAAAGTACTAACATGTCTAAGATGTATTTTCATTTTTAAACCTACATCTAACTAAAATGCTTCATCAAAAGAAATTGTTAAACTAAAACGCATCAAATCAAGCGCCGCGGATTATAACAGCTGGTACGTATCTATTTAATAATTCACGAAGCTCTAATCCAAACCCGACGGGTACAGCGGTCGTCACGAAATTATTGAGTTTGTAAACCCCCTGATACATAAAACGATGGTAACTGCATTCTTAATGCGAACATTAAAGCCACGATGCGTGTTCCTTCCAGTTTATTACCTCCAACATTAATATGCTTCTCTCTTTGTTCCAGATTCCAAAATGGCGAAGCAAGTTTGGTTGATTCTGAGCCTCTTTCTTGCTACCGCAATCGCTGATTTCACAACAAACTGCCCACAAGAGTGCAAATGTGTTTGGGCAAGCGGCAACAAACAAGCTGACTGCTCACACTCCCGTCTCAACGACATACCCAGAAACTTAAGCGCAGAGATACAAAACCTCGATCTCACAGGCAACGAACTTTACGAAATCACAAGACATGCATTCCATGATGTAGGTCTCATCAACTTGAAGAAACTCATCCTCAAAGAATGCAAGCTCTTGACAATACAGAGAAACGGACTGAGCGGACTTGCCATCATGATAGAACTTGATCTATCCAAGAATGACCTAAAAACTTTACATGCCGACACCTTCAAAGAAACAGCTAAAATAAGATGGATCCTACTGAACGACAATCAAATAGAGAAATTAGAAGACGGGCTCTTTAATAATTTGCCGTTCCTACAGAAAGTAGAATTGAGTAACAACAAAATCCTACAAATAGGAATGAAGACATTCATGAACGTGCCCAAATTAAACATCCTCAGACTTGACGGAAACAAATTGGAGTATCTGAAGATTGATACATTAAGTGCGCTGACGTCGCTTTCCAATTTAGATGTTCACGATAACCCTTGGCGTTGTGACTGTTACTTACAACCGTTCAGAAACTGGGTAATTAGTAAGAACTTCTACACTTCCCCCATTTCTTGTGTAGAGCCCCCTAAAGTTCACGGAAAACTTTGGAAAGAGCTGGACTCCAGCGACTTTGCTTGCAAACCTAGCATCGTATACCCTTCCGTCAGTACAACACTACGAACATCAGATACCAACGTCACATTATCCTGTCAGGTCAACGGCAACCCGCTGCCAGAAGTCAACTGGGTCTTAAATGCTCAAATCATAGATGGTGCTTACAGATACCAGGGAGAACTCAAATACTACATCACTGAAAGAAATCTCGATAACTCCAAATGGGTTAATTTAACTATAGTTGATTTAGGAAGCACAGACAATGGCGATTACCTGTGTGTTGCAAAAAATGCTGGTGGAGTTGAAGAGCGCAGTCTGACGCTGGCAGTGACTCAGAGTTTCCCTGAGAGTGGAGTAGTTCCTGAAGGCATGGATAACAATATGCTGCCAGTGCTCATTGGCGTGTCATGTACTGCAGCTATTGTGCTGATAATCCTGGTGATACTCTGCTACTGCTGCTGCTTCAGACGGCGAGGTTCAGACAAGAAGAAAGCAGAGAATTCTAACGGTGAAGCATTGATTGAAGGATCTGTTATACCCGAGATGGAGAAGAGCCTAATCACTGCTGTCAATCCGGTGACGAAGCCTCCGAGAAGATACGATGTGCCACCATCGATCACCAGCGGCGCGACCGAAATGTCTGAACTAAACAAAACATTGCTGGACAATGATTCTGTGTTTGGTAAGTGGATAATTATTTATTTTGTTTGAAATGCCATAGCACCCACATCCATCCCACTCTATCTATCTACAGTCTCTATCCAAATTCGTATGTTGACCTTTCAAAACCTTCAATATAACTTATCAAACTATGAATTTCCAATTACAAACTTCTGAATATCAGTTTGTGCTTAATAATTAATGTAACCATACCAATATCTATAAATGTTTAACCGCTTCCGAAGATATTTGTAATAACGTATCTAGTGATAACTACATATCCAATAAGTTCCCAAAAGTTCTGTCAATATATCTGATAATTTGGGAACATACTGTTTACACTCACTAATACTATTATCAGTAACATTTTATCTATATCCGTGGGTTTAGAGACTATCGACCCCTTTATCGGTTCAATGTTAAAGATTAGTGTCTCCTTAAGTTTGCAGCGGCAGAAAGCACTGATGTCACAAATATTCACCTTTTGAAAGAATCTTAATAAAATTCAGAAAACCATTTTTGTACCATGTGAAGATCAAGTATGGATTATTATTTTTTAGATACTAATAGAGTTTTCTTTGTTCCAGCTCACAACGATGATGAAAAACGCTCGCTAGACTTCGACCCGCCATCAAAACGATCGCAGGATGCTCTCAACGTAGAATATGGCCGTACTGACGGTCGAGCCTACCCTCCTGATCTACTGTCCTTCCCTCCCAGAGCAGCTCAAATATCACCAGCGGCTAGCAACGCTTCCACAGTGCCTGACACCACCAGGCTGCCACCACAACTCAACCCGATTAGTCCCATACACTCACCAATATATGGCATGACTAACCAAAATCTATTCAGGACTTTACCCTACTCTCGTTCTCAGTCGCCATTCACAGCGCCCATAACTCCTCCAGTCGTCACCCCAAGGCAAGGATATGTCACCATCCCGAGGAGACCCAGAGTGCCAAGCTGGTCTAGTACAGCGAGCACACAAATCCTGCCTAGCTCTGAAGCTCAAGAACCGTTGTATGATAATCTAGGATTAAGGACCACGGCAGATGGCAGCTCTGTCTTATCATTAAATAAAACGGGCCTAGAACCACAATTCTCACCAATGAGAAACAGACCCTTGCCGGCCACTCCAATAGCCTACCCTAACCAACATCCAGTGTACTACGCTCCTATTGAAGAACAAGAGCCGTCTCCTTCGCCAGTACCTCCACAAGTGAACCGGAACAGCATCAGCTCTCAGTTGTCACATCAACTTTCTACTCCAGGCCCTCAGGAACCAGTGAATCCAAGAATGAGTTGGACTGCTAAGAACACCTCCACTCCACAACCTGAACCTAGGAAAGTATTATTCAGTGACAAAAGCGATGCACAGTCCCAAGTGTCAGACAGCAGTACACTGAGCCGAAGAGGAAAGCCTGAAACTGGATCTTTAAGAAGAATTCCAAGGGTAGATAGTAAGGAGGAGCCTAGTTCTCCATCAAAGGATGAGAGCAAGAAAAACGAGAGTGTATTGAACCAATCGGGGACTCTGGGCAGGAGTGGTAAGATACCACCACGACCGCCGCCGAAGCCGAAGAAAAAGCCGAGTACAGAAGTGAACCCCAACGAGCCGCTGTTCGAGGACGAAGGAGAGGATGGTACGGAAGTGTAATAAGTTTAGACTAAAGGTTTACCAAAGTGCCAATGAGCTTTTAGTGAGAGGAGAGACCTACGTCACGATATCAGTGAAAAAGACGTGTCATTACGATTAATTTTCCGCGGTGCTCCTGTAAATAGACATTTGTGCTAGATTTTTTACTTGTCGCGTAAAATTTATGGACCATTTTAATATTATAATCATTGTAACGCAATTGGACGTCGCGTTCGCTGTTGATTTAAGTATTTATTGTTTGTGGTACTCGTTGATTAAGACATGAATGGTAAATAATGGCTTTTATGTAGCGACGATTGTTTCATCAATATCCAAGACTGATTACTCTAAATTGACACGCTTTTGTGGTATATGAACTGTTTCAAGTGGACGTGTTTGTGTTATCATTTATTCAGTTGAGTTCTGGGTGTCATTTTTAGCTTTGTTTCACGTCGCTTTGTTCGAGATTCAGTCGACACTGCCGTATATTATTCAAATGCGGAAAAGAAGGAAAGATTAAGCAGTTGAAATGTTCATATCTTTCTACACAAGCTAAATTTGAGAATTCTTTACTCATATCATTCCAAAATTGTAATCCCATCATCTGCTTGGCACCGTTCATATATTCGAGTTTTATTTGACATTCCTTAAAGCATTCTTTCGTGGCATCTACACATTGATAATGGATTCTCACATATATTTATATGGAAGACTGAAGCAAATAGTTCGCTTTTCCTCTATTGATCATGTCAATAGCTTGCTATAAGCGGTTTGTTTGTTTGGTTCTATGTTTCGTCCTTGTATATTGCACGTTTATAAATGTTTACTTCATTTGTTTGGGAGTGCGTTTAAGTACTTTCTCTGTTGTTTTATTTTAATCTTCATGTATCAATGTTATTATGGTGGTTCTGTTTCACATAAAAATTTATGCTAAAATCCGATGCGCCTGCACGATTGGCGCGGTGGCTGGGCAACCGACTGCCGCGCAATGTTAAGCGGGTTCAATTCCCGCACGGAGCAACTCTTGGTGTGATCCACAAATAGTTGTTTTGACAATGTTTTATAAAGAATATAGAAAAAAATACTAATTATTTTAACAGTTTCTGTTTATAAAATTCATCGACAAATAGGATACAACCAGTCAAAAAACAGTTTTAATCTCAATATACCATTGAAAAACATTTTGAAACTGGACCGTCAGTTAGCACTTTGAAACGTAAATAAGGTCACAAAGTATTTTTGTTTTTAGTTTTTGAACTAACTTTATAAATCGTGCAACATACCTCAACGTACATCGTTCGTTCTGCGCTAAAATATTTAACTTCGTAAATTCTAAGTTAACAACATTTTAGTTTTTAGTCCGAGGCTGTTTCCGCTAACATTTTTAAATGTAAACGTAACTCTGATGAATAGAAAACTGCCGTACACAGAGTCATCATTACTTAACCTTATAATAATTATCGTGAGACATACTAAATTAACTAAAAATCGCAGGTTACTCACGTGAATATACTGAGAGAAAAGCTCTACTAGTTTTAGTCAGTAGGCTGCGCGACATCGCTGCGACTGCGCACGCTGCTCATATGGAACCCCTCTGTGGTTCGAAACTAGTAGAGCTTTTCTCAGTGTTTTCAGGTGAGTAACCCGCGATTTTTAGTTAATTACTTAACCTATTCTTTAGCTACAATTTTGTTCAGAAAACAAATTAGTAAGGACTGGAAAACAAACGTTAAATGACTCCAAGTATGGCAGTACGTATTCCCAATAAAGTAGATGAGTTACGTAGTTTTCAATTTCGAATAATTAGGATTAATGAAATTCCACGGCAGACCAAAGCAGGCAGCAAATTGTACGTCAATTATTTGATTTTAATGTCTTGATTTTAACCTATGAATATGTACTAGGCAACTTTGAATCTGACAATATGATTAATGACCTTAAGATTCAGAACATCAATTGGCTTCTAACAGAATCAAAGCCTAATATAATTGGATTTGTAAACTTTAACGCAAATATGACTGTACTATTTTACATTTTAATGGTAGTTTTTTCACACAGAAGGGGTCGTAACTACCAATTTTTAATTTTCGATTTTATTTTTGCGTAGAGTTTTTGTCGTCAGCAGCAAACAAGATTTCATTTGGAAATCTATGAAATAATAATGCATAGATCCTTACTATACTATTGTTTAGACTCAATCTCTACGTATTTTAGCCAATTCTACAATGAAACGTTTTATCTTTTTACCGATTAATTGCGAGAAATAGTTCCTAAAGTTTTTTAAACCATGTGTTAGATTATTTTAGGTATAACAATCATGTTATAGTTTAAGATTCGCTTACTTACTGGTGCATATTTTTGTATACCACTTTTATGTGTCTATTTATTTTATTTTTTTAATTGTATATTTTTACTTTCAGTCTCTTCTTTTGAAAATTATTTGGAAGTTGATTGTAAAAGTAATTTTGATTCATTGAACATTTTTAGACTTTTTAAACTTAACCTGTTTTACGTACTTAACAGTTTATGGTCCTTGAAACTGAAGTAACAAAAATGTGAATTATTAAAATAACATCATTGTATATTAAACTTGTGGCAAAATGGTTGATAATTCCAAGTATTTTCAAAGGAGAAACAATTATTAATTAAGTTTTAAAAGTACATGACAAAGTTGTATTCTACATGAAATGTTGTATCCTTTAGCGTTTTATATGAAGTGTGCTATTATAAAATGTACTGTAAAAACTTATTAATGTATTTTCAATTCATAAGCTATATAAATAAAATACATTTTGGCTCGAAATCGAATAAAAATAGTAGGAAAATGTACACATAACAACGGCCTTTATACAAATCAAATATTTTACCGTTTTTTTCTAAAGTAAATGCCACATCAGTGACTCTTTGTTTTTTACCGTCGAAAAAAATCCGCGTAGCTTTGATTTCATATAATTTTATTTGTAAATTGGACCTGCGTAGGTACAATATTTTTACAATATTTACTGTAGAAATCCAGTTTTTATAGTTTTAAGTCCAATGTAAATAGATACATTATTAAAAGTGATTAAAAGCTATATTTCATACGAACTTTGTTTGATTTAAAGACCTGTTTCCACAGCAAAATGCATTATGATATAGCTTCAAAACCTCCCACTTCAAAAGGAAACGTGGAACTAGTGTCAAGTAAATAAGGTAAAAGAAATTGCACATCCAATCTTCACCTGAGATCTTGAGGTAGAACTGAATATGAAATCCATTGCCAAGTAGGTAATTTTGTCACCAGTCTGCTGATACATAGTACCGAAGTCCCTACTATGACATTATAAAATCAGTTAGTCGAAAAAGACTGCACGGTTGGCGCTGTGGCTAAGTAACTGGCTGTCGCTTAACGTGTGTTCGATTCGGTTCGAAAGTCTAGGTCATGATGATATTGTATGTTTGTAAACGCACCCACACAGGAAAAAATCCTAGTGCGGGGCAACATTTTTCTTTAAGAACAAGAAGAATAAGATAACATATTATTTAGACTGCCTTGGTTGGCCGAGTGGTCGCAAGTGCGGGGTTCGATTCCCGGGTCGGGCAAATGAGCCTGGCATATGGCAATAGGCTCACCCCCTATTCCATGGGACTCATAACATAAATAGTGAAAAATGGGTGTTACATTGTACAGTGGCATTAAGTGCCGTAATGTGCACGTCTGTTTACCACTTCGGGGATAAAAGGCGTGATGTTATGTCATGTTATATTATTTAGGTACCCAAAACACTGAATTATAATAAGACTATTAACACTTTCCTAAAAGAAGAAAGAAACAACAACCAAGTAAAGACTTCATTCTGTTGTTTTAAATAATTGGAAAGCTGGACTAAGTTTAGTACTGGCAGACTGACTCGAGACGGAAATCCAATTACAAAGCGAGGAACAAAACATAAATTAATGAGAACGAACTGAAATTCTCAACTATGAAATATGGAGAACTTTGGCACGAAGTACGCCACGAACACTATTCTCTAAACGTAAGGTTTTTTATAAGGGCGGAAAATCATCGAATGACTTCTCCCGCCTGGGTGAGGCAGGAGGGAGGGTCAGACTCTTACTGACTAAAAACCACCCCGTTCCTTCTCCTGCACGTCGAGCCGGAGCCCCGGTAACCCGTTAAGTGCTCCGTGGCTCCGTATCGGCATCAGCCTATTAAGCCATCCGTGGTGGTCTGATGGCCCTTTGAGGCGCGCGCTGAACGCGACGCGCCGTACGCTCGGGTCTGTTTCTGGTCGGACGGGGAGCCACCCATGCTCGCCGTCCGCAGGCCCGTAAGGTAGATAGATAAATCTGTGTATCCAGTTAACATTTTATAAACGAAATCTTACTTATCGGGGAGCACGAAATAGCTCGCCTATTTCGCATCCGGGGATAATTTTATCATAATCATCATCATCGACAGATTATAAGTGGCCACTGACGCTGACCAAGTACCTCTTTTCGTAAGAAGAGCTTTGAGCATTACCAATTGCGAGTTGGCGATTTCAAACTTATAATTAGAAATTATAAGTCCAGGTATCCTAACGTTTTTCTTCACCGTTTGTCAGTGGTGTATAGATATTAGAAAGAGTATTAATTACTGTACTAATTCTACGTAACTTTCTTTAAGTTATAAGTAATTATTTAGTTAGGGTTTAGATTCAAAAAGTGTGAAAATTCTCTAGTTACCGAATGACCTGACACATAGGATTAATGACATTGGCTTTCACTACAAGACTAATCCCTTCTCCTTACATAAAATCGCCACCAATAAATAAATAAAATAAAAATGTCCACAAATAAACTCCCGACTCAAACATAACAATCACGGTTCGCCTTTTTACTGCCATTCTGACCTCTGAGGTATATTTGGAACAAAAACAAAAAATACACGAGCAAAACTTCAAAATTACCGGCTAAAAAACTTTCGGGCCCTTTGTTATTTTACTTATTTTATTAGTTAACGTTTCAAGGTAAAATATAAAAGTTTTTTTAGTTTTTTA